TTGAAACTGATATTACTTATATAAGCAATCTTTAAAGGAATTTTCCACCAGAGTTACACAAGCTCTGCTGACGAGAGGTTTGATTCTCAGCCTGTGAAAACAATATTAAAATGTTTGAAAATGTAACCCTGATGATGTCATCAGGTTATCTCAGCTTGGGCTCTGGGATTTTCAATGTATAACAGAAAGCCTTTGTCACTGGGCATGTAGGGGGTTAAAAAAAAAGATGCAATTATGCTGCGTTATGGGAAACATAGTATCTAGTTGGACCCATACAAAGGACTTAAATAAATCTTTGGCTCTGTTGCATGAGTTTAGATCATCTGTCTCCTGTGAGTCCTCCTACTCCTTTCACATCGTCCGACTTGTCAACATGTACTGTTACATTTAGTCCACTTTAAGTGTTACGTCAGTCTATTAAACTATTTTGGAAAAGTGCACGTCTCAATTGTGTGTATAATTGTGTCCGCTTGACTCATATTTGAATAATGAATCGAGCATTTCAAACAAAACCAGAATGATATTACTTCAAGGCTACCCCAGCAACTCAATTAATGTAAATGTATAATTACATGGAACATTTGTCACAACTTAACCTGTTGGATGAAAACCTGTTGTTGACTTTTTGCTTCACGTCTTTTCAGGGCAACCGGGGCAGAACTGGAGTGGTGGTGGCAGCCTACATGCATTACAGCAACATATCTGCAAGGTAGGTCTTTTATACACCTATCCCAAAAACTGGCAGAGGACTGAATTGCTGTACACTTTGCGAAAGGGAAAGACAGTCTGACAGTAAGAGCACGAGAGGAGGCACAAAGCTGAATCTGTTGTTTTTTTTAAAAGAGAAAATTTGAAGTGGAAAAAAAACAAGAGAGAAGGGGGGTAGACTCTATGAGGAGCAGGCATGAGAGGAAAACTAGATAAGCCCAGATTGTTCATCATAAGACCAAAGCCCACATCTGAGGAACAGACAGAGATGTGTTGAACAGAAAGAGGAGGAGGAGGAGGACCATGAGACTGCAAAACAACACTTTATTTGGAGAAATCCAAAGACAACTATTTGATATAATAATTATGAGCAGAAAGCAATGAGTTAGTGTTAACTGTAACTGTATCATAAGACTGAAATTAGATATACAAGTGTCCTTTATTCTTGTTTTTAGATACATCAAAATAGAAAAACATTTTGTTAGAAAAAGTGAGGAGATGTAAACCAACAATCAATTAGAGGAGCGCATGACTCCCTGTTGTTTTTAGAAGAGCGATTAGCCAGGGAAAAAAAAAAAGGAATGCATGCTCGTCTCTTCTCTGTAAAAATATTAGATTTCTCATAATCCCATTATCCCACAAGTCAATTTAAAGCTTTGGTGAAGTCCATTTAGAAACTTAAGTAGCAGCAAAAAGCCAGAACATGAACCACAAGCCATAGAGGAATATAGATTTTATGTAAAATTTTGCATTGTGGATAAACATGTTTTATTGTGAGCATGCAGGTCAGGTATCAACCACTAAGCACTTTAGTCTGCATGATCATCACATGTGGCCAACACTGCATGTCATTAAATGGAACATTTTTTAAGAATGTCTACTTAGAGATATTAAGTGCAAATATGCATCAATCATGTCGAATACCTTTTCTCCCTGATTTCGTGTTGTGTATTATGGCAGGTGCATCCTGCTGTCAAATGAATTCTAGGCCTATTTTCTGTCTGTAGTGTGATGTCTGACATTAAGAACGCTGTAGAATGGTTTTGTGTATAATTAAAATATCTTTTACAATGTCTAACATGACATGACCAAGCTTACTATCAGTGTTAATGCTGCACACATACTGGTGTCGGACATTTGAAATTGCAGACACTAGAATGGAAAGACAGTTGTTCTTACTAAACTTTTCTGTTGGAATGCAGCGCTGACCAGGCTCTGGACAGGTTTGCCATGAAGCGCTTTTATGAGGACAAAGTGCTTCCTGTAGGTCAGCCCTCGCAGAAAAGGTCAGTCTTACATCACTTCTTGTTTAAAGTATGATTTGACCCTAAAGTGAACTCACAAATTCAAAGCTGTATTAATCCATGTGTGGCCACTTGATGAAAGCGGGAGAGGTAGGCAAACATTTGCCTATTTATTTTAGGTTCCTTGAAAGATATGAAACCCCAAATGCCTGAATTTTGTGATGTTCTCACTGCAGTTCCAAAATGCAAATACTTGACCATGGTGTTGATTGCTGATTATGATATGTTTTGGATGGGGAACTGTCGTAGCGGTGGAGTTTAGGGGGCAGAATAATACAATATGTGACAAGTTGGAAGATTTTTTGATCAGTGCAACTGTATATTAGTTTGGTCTAAAACTCTAAGAAGTCCAAATCGTTGGTGTGAACGAGCCACTCATTGCTACCAGAGGTCGAAGAACAAATTGTTGTCTCTTAATTGTAATAAATACAGGCTTATACTTTCATCCCTTTGTTGCAAAACATTATAAATTATTTGACGGAAAGGGACCACGCATTATGTTCATGTCCTCAGGTATGTCGAGTACTTCAGCGGCTTGCTCTCCGGACACATCAAGATCAACAACAAACCCTTGTTTCTTCATCACGTCATCATGCACGGCATCCCCAACTTTGAGTCTAAAGGAGGTGAGTGTTGTTCATAGATTCTCACACGTCAGCATTTTCATACACCTCATTTATCTTTGGCCTTCTTTGAAAATTTGTGTTCCAGGTTGTCGTCCTTTTCTCAAAATCTACCAGGCCATGCAGCCCGTCTACACATCTGGGATCTAGTGAGTCTTAAAACGTTCTCACACTAAAATGCTTTTACAAGATTCAAGGGATCACAAGCTCCTTATGGCTCAATAATAAAAAACCCTGATTTTCCTTTATAGCCTCTCCTGTAACTCCCCTGCCCCCTAACACACACACACACACACACACACACACACACACACACTATCCCTCTGGCCAGTTTACACTCACATTATTTTATTAATCTAGCCTCCCCCAGCTGCAGGCTCTTGTTTCCCTACTTTAGATCCTCCAATCTCTCCTAGTGTTATTTGTGACTGGAGAGCCAATGAAATAGGCAGACAGGCATCTGTGTGGACGCCTGAAGGCTTTTCCTGCCAGAGGACCCCGCTGGTTCCCAGGGCCAGACAGGAAACAATGGATTCTAAGGCTTTCTGTTGTTGTTTTGGGAAGAAGGGAGGTTTAGAGGAGGGGGTACGAGGGGAGAGCTGCACCGGGTGAGGCCCACAGGCGTACAGTTTACATTTACACGGCCTTTAAAAGTATAACAGCTTAAATACCACACAGACACTGGTCACTATAAGGTGAATATTGAAAATCTGATGGATTATATCAGGAAAACACATGCTACGTCCAAATTCTGCAGTTTCCAATAATTCAACAGATTTTGATTATTTAATCCACACATGTCGGATTGAGGCAGCATTTGAATAAAAGATGAGGTTAAAGGCATAAAATAGTTGTAACACAAGCACAAAGTGTACAATACTCTCTCCTTGTTGACATGTTTTTGTCTCCACCACCTCCTGAGGAAACTGTCTGCTGTTTGGTGGTGGTCAGACAGTGTACAATAGATTTATCAGAACTTTTCCTGCTGCAAACAGCCGGACAAGAAAACCACTGAGCTAAAAGAGGTTCCACCACACCACAGAGCGCACTGCAAAATCAGGTGATACTTATCTGTGGGCAAACAGCAACTTTTACAGTACACAGAGTCATTTCATCAATTTTCACCATAAACTTGTCTCAGATCAGATTTTAAACTCCCTGATCCTTACCTTCTTCTGGAATTTCCGTTGCATATTTTACCCTGATTCTCACTGCAGAGCATTTGTTAAGTGCTTCAAAGTTATTTCTGTAAATAGTAAAGCCCGCTGGTTTGAAACAGTTTCTACTACGTCCACTCTCACAATAGTGTCAGTGCCATAAACACTTTTACAGCACACAAAATAACCAAGTGTGAAACATTCAGAGCAGAGACTTCCAGACTGTCCAACCCTTCCAGACCCAAATCCCATTCCTCCCCACTTTCTCTCACATGCTCCCCATTAGCACTCTCCAGCCTTTGATCCCACTCTCCCAGTTAGACAATCATGTGGACACTAATACCCAAAATTAGCCCAGAATTGCACCACTCTTACACTGGCACTGCAGTGGCCGCTGTTAAAGCAAACAAGGGATTGTTGAAAGATGATGTAGATCATGTGCACGTCCTTATAACCAGACAGGTAACATCAAATAAAAAAAACTAAACTGGGACAGTACTATGTCAATGTTCATAGTAAGAATAATAATAATGAAGGCTGATGATTTATCTGACATGTTGTGTTTTTTCTCTTTCACAGTAATGTTCAGGGCGACAGCCAGACAAGCATCTGCATCACTATTGAACCTGGTCTTCTTCTGAAAGGGGACATCCTGGTAGGAACAACACAACACACACACACACACACACACACACAAACACACACGCACACACACACATACACAAACAACAGCCAGAGATTAATGTTACAGTTAAATGCTTGTTTAGTGTCTCAGCTGTTTGAATCACATTCTGTGAATTTAACAAGGAAATGAGAAACTGCAGACACTACCACAGATTTTCTTGTTCTCATGTGTGAAGCCAATAACAGGGAAAGTTTATGGTCCCATTTTTTTTTCAGTTTTTTGCCTCTGCCAGAAAAAGAAGGATAAATGGGAGCTAAATGATGATTATCACTGAATGCCAATGAGAGCGTCTGCACGAATGCACAGAGGATGCACTGATTTTATTGTTTGAGGGAATCCTGTTGGTTTTTCCAGTCTGACGTCGGTGTATGTACTGTATGCATGTGCTGCAGCGGTTTATAGTATCCATTCACAGAAAAAAAATAGGGCCATAAAAACCAGGGGAAAGACACTTGGCCAGGGTCCTATACCTCAGTTTATAGACCCTCATTAGCACACAATACGTTTCCTGGAAACTATGATGTCAAATGGCTGCGGGTTTCCTTTCCAACAGCGTTTGGTGCACAGTCTTAATAAGACATGACATCAGTTATGTCAAGCTGAATGTTAAAATGATAGTGTTTGGAAAATCTTCTTTTCAGATTTTCTGGAAATGTATAAAAGCACACTTGTTCAAAAAATAAAACTATGTTTTATATTTGCATGTATTTTTAGCAGAATAATTGCACAGATCAGCAAAGTTTCTGCTTCTGCTCTCATTCAGACCATAATGTTATCCTTGAGATGTCCTGGGGGGTCAGCACGGAGGCATGGAGAATTTCAAAGGGAGCACTTACTGTGCGCTCGAGGCTGTTCCGTTTTGGCCCCTCAGAGCTCATATCTCATGCTTTATTTAAGACGGACTAATGGATTCTGCTGAATGCATCATCTGACTGAGCCACTGCCTGCTGATGCTTGTTATTATTCAGATAACATGGAAAATGGGAACTGCAACCTCATGGCCAAACAGGAGTCGGCCTGGAGTGTGCGCCAACATTTTAAAACTGCAGTAGTGTGTGTTGGTGCAGTTGAAATGAGTTGTGGATTTTGTGCCTGCTAATAAATTACTAATTGCATAATGGTTAAATTAAAAAAATATATAATTAGGGAGGGAAATCTTTCAGGTTTCTTCTCTCACTGGCCAGTTAAAATACATTTTAGTCATTTCAGTTTTCAAGTTTGGTTTTAGAGTTCATGATAAATCTTATTCCAAAATGTCACAATAAACAAAATACTGTAGAATACAGCTTAAGATGTTCAGGGAACAAGTTAGGGACGTTCATGGAGTGAGTTCCACATTGAGTGTTGGATGAGAAGATTGACACCACTCACATCTTGATTGTAAATATGAAACAGGAGCCAATTGGCTTATCTTAGAATACAGACTAGAAAGGGGGCACAACTGGCCTGACTCCAAACACACTGAAGCTGTTTTTAGACATGAACTCCAGAGAGTGTCCACATGGGGTCTGGACTTTCTCTGGAGTTTGCCTTCCACCCATGAACAATGCAGCAGATTCTCTTCTCAGATGCTTTCACAACAACAGAGATCTGCTGAGCGCTCAGGTGACGGGTGGTGCAGCAGGCAGAGGCAGGACGTAAAGTATTAATTATGGCGTGCATGTTTTTGATTACAGTATCAACATCTGCCCTTATCAGCGAAGTCTTCCCATCTGCCTCTCAGCAAGACAGTGAACGAGCCTAATTCTCAGAATGTCAAACTTTTCCTTTAAAATTAGAGATTATCTGTTCGCAGGAGGGAGCTTTGGTGAAAATTTAATGCAGTGCGTGAATACGGTCTCAAAAGCAGCATGTAAGCCGAAAATGAATGTTTTCCTTCTTCTGTTTTTTGTTCTGAAACTTGGCTCCCCAGCATTGTTTTCCTCATGAAACAGACCCCTCAGTGGGAGGTTTACCGTATCCAGAAAGCTGTGCTGAGCCACAGGATATTTTACTTTGCCTTCCTTTCATCCTCTCCCTTATATGTTTTGGTCTTATATGGCTCCACAAGTCCAAAATAGGTTTATTGAAAGTAGCCACTTTAGTTTTTATCAGCTCTCAGTATAGTAGATAGATAAATGTGACATTTAATAATGTCTAAACAAAACATTTTCGCAGTAGGATGCTTTTCAGTTTGCCAGTATCTATCATTCTTTACAGTCGCAGCTTGTGAGCTGCAAGTTGTTTAGGTTTACTGTAAATCTTCCTGCAGTACCTGTAAATGTGGGGTCCTTGTAAAAGCCCAACAGGTCCGGGCTTCACATCAGGAATCGGCAGGAGGGAGAGAGAAGATTTTCCCATGTGTGGTTTTAGTATTGCTCTTAAAGCTGTTGTGCAGTGAGAAGCAGAATGGATAATAATGTGTGTGAAGAGGCCATACATCGCAAGGGATATATATAAAACGCCTTGAATGCTTTTTCTAGCTGGGAGCCAGGGTGGTGAAAGACCTCGCAGTGAATCAAGCTGACATGTTTCTGGCTCGTGTTCCACACAGATCCTTTCATATTGTGCTCACTTGATATTGTGAGTGGATCAGCTTTGAAGTCATATTGAGCTCAGCTACAGGAGCGATTCGATTCTGCTTTTCTTTCTGCTGAAAATACTTTTTGTTCTCATCAAAACTGACACTTGGTGTAAATAAGCCTTACCCTGACATTATTATTCATTCAGTGATATTCAGTGTACCTGTAGAGCCCATCTGTCAAACCCAGATCCGATCCAGACTTAACTGACCCTTCAAGTCGACACTGCTCGATACAGTATAGTTTGTATTCAATTTTCATGGTTTTCACCCTCCAGCTCAAGTGCTACCACAAGCGCTACCGCAGCCCGTGCCGAGATGTGATATTCCGGGTGCAGTTTCACACATGTGCTGTTCACGACCTGGGGATCGTCTTTGGGAAAGATGAGCTTGATGAGACGTTCAAAGGTAATGGATGTGGGATGAGAACGAGTTCCTCTGATTCTCTGCATATGTCGAAGCAATCACATTATTTTCGATACAGCAAATGTTGCTAATGAGTAAAATCCAAACGGCAGGAAACATTATTCACCTGTACAGACTGCTGTAAAGACAACAGATGCATTTCATTATAACCTGTATGCTACCATAATGACTCAGAGTCCTTGGGTACTCTTTTTATTTTATGTTTACTGTAGATGACAGGTTTCCAGAGTATGGAAAAGTGGAGTTTATTTTCTCCTTCGGGCCAGAGAAAATCCATGGTAAGCATCAATGTGTCTGGTTTGAAGAGGCATTTTCCACACATTCATTTTCCCTACTACACTTAATTTTGAGAATGTTTGCCTTTAGGGATATATTTGCCTTTAATCGACGGTATGTAAAAGAAAGACGAAAAGTAAATGTTGGGAAGAAAGAGGGGAATCCATGGAAGAAAGACATCTGGGTTTTAGCCAGTGTTGCCTCGTAACTGAATATTTTTAGATTTCGGGTTCTTGTTGTTAACATTTGTTATTGGTTATTTTGTGAACGATAACACTCAACAAAATAGCAGTAAGTGACAAAATAAAGGGAATGAAGTAAAAAGAGAAGCTAATTACATTACTGTAATTCAGATGTATTAAAAATTAATCAATACAAATAGAGCAGTACTTCAACCAGATCCTGATTAAAAGCTTGTGACCAAATATATATTATTTTAGCCTTTGAGATTGAAAGACATTCACATTTCTGCTCTGCCTCTTTGTACTTCTGGTCAAGGTATGGATCACCTGGAAAACGGTCCGAGCGTGTCGGTTGACTACAACACACAGGATCCCCTGATTCGCTGGGACTCGTACGAAAACTTCAACCAGAACTGTGAGGACACCGCAGACGGTAAGCCCAGTTTGGCTAATGGAAGCCAATGCACACAGGCACTGACTGCTGGAGTTACTCCGCTGAGTCCTAACGTACAGTAAACACTTGCAGCACTGTTGGATGTTATATTCGATTCAATACCTTCTTGATGAGATTACTGTTGAAGAGAAATTGGACGTCAAACCTGAAAAATTCAAAATAAACAAATAAATGCAACACACAGAGACGGTACATGCCGACACAAACCCACACTCAGACAGCAGAACTGCTCCTGCCCACCCTCTTGTGTGTTGTAAAGTTAACAAGCTGTTAAATACAATAGCTCTTTGCAGCCATTACCCTTATTGCCACATACACAAATGTGCAATAACCTGCAAGTCATTTTAAGTCAATTATCTCATTTATGTAACAGCCTGACATCAGGTTCATGTAAGTGCGTGTGACCTTGATGACTTTATCACTCCTGTCAATTTTGAGCCAACGCGCTGCAACAGTGGTCTTCCTCTAACAACGCGTGACCACACAAGGTCTCCTCAGTGGCCGTCAGCGAGTGGACATACTCCTCATCGTCTAAAAGGTGGCTTTACATGCTTGTTACACACGCGGTACATGTGACTGCGGAAATGGATTTAAAGTGGTTGAAAGGAAGCTGTCATGCTGTTATAGTCTCATCATTCTCACACGCACTGACACACACACACAAACAGCATGTAACCAAGCTGACCCCTGCAACAAGGGTGTTTTTGTCCTCCTGCGTGACACAAAGGACAGATTCAGCCTCAGTCCTGATGGAGTTTAGAGACTTTTTTCACACTTTTATCTCTTTAAACCTCCCACACGACAGGATCAAACTGAGGCCACATTTAAGATCAATGATGCAAAGACGCAGAGTTGCAGTTGTGAACACAAGGAAATACACAGCGTGTTGAAGAGAACCAACGTCACCCAAAGTCTGCGTTGAGAGATGCATTCCTGGATGTAAATGGCAAATTGTGTTTTGAAAGGGAGGAGAGACATTGGCAACATTGAATTCATTTGTGGTGGAACTATGACCGCAGAGAAGCCAAAGGGCCTGTGGGACCTGACTCTATTGCTTTCCAGAGCACAGTGCAAGACATTCCTGGGTTTCGCCACAGGCATGGACCGAGCCAAACTATTGAGGGAGCAGTGGTCACTCTGTGGCCAGAACGCTACTTTCTCCGCCACCCAAAAAAAGGAAGAAATGCTACGCCCTTAGTGATAGTGGCGAGCCTGTTGTTTAGCTTTCGAAAGTGGCGGCACATGCTTGGATGATCAGTTTGTTTTGGAATGACTTTCCTACGTTTAGTGGCGTAGAAAACTGATATGTATTGTCAATACTCCTTTTAAAGAGGAATTTATTACATCTTTGTTCTGGATAACATACCCACCGAAGGAAATGTACCGTGACCTGACCCAGCACTGACTGTGGCTTCAACAGAGGTTAAGTTCTCACTCATCACAGACAAAGACAGTTTAACTTGTTGCATGAAACTCAAGTGTCAGAGTGGACAGGACATTCTTCTTGACCAGTGGTGGAAGAAGTAATCAGATGCTTTCGACGTAATAGTAGAATCCTGTCACACGTGACACACAGTTATAACATCATCCAAGTAAAAAGTACAGATGCATTATAAATGAAATGGTTTGAGATCAATTTGAATGACTTAGAACTGTGTGTGGCAGTGGAATCAGCATGAATGCATCATATTCTAGGAAGAAAATATGTGTTTTGGATGAACAACATTTCCCCCCCTGTCCTTGCTGGGAAGTATAAAGGCAGGGAATGGAAATACTGAAGTAAAGAACAAGCGCCTCAGAATTATTTTACTTAAGCACAGTATTTGAATAAATGTATTAGTATCATTCCATGTCTGTGAGTGAGTCAGTGATCTCCTCAAGTTTACACATTAAGTGACAGTGTTGGTGCTGATGAAGAACTGGCAACATTTGAATAATTTATACATTCAATTTGTGTAGCACTTTTAAAAGGTTTTCACTTAACCTGGTAAGAACAGCGACAGTAAAAACATTAAGAACAAGGTAACATTATAGCAGTTAGAAGACAGTTATTTTACATTAAAAACGATTGTATTACATAAATAAATCACAGATTAAAAGCAGATTTTTGAAGGAGGGGAGTGAGGGAGACTGTCTGAGGTGTTGGGGGAGAAAGTTCCAGAAGGAGGGGGCAGCGATGAAGAAGGCCTTGTCCCCCCAGGTTCGGTGCTTGGACAGGGTAAGAGACGTGAGGAGGTTGGTGTGGCTGGATCTATGAACACAAAGTGAGAAAATGCATTTGTAAGTTAGAAATGTTATGTTTATAATCTGTTGAAAAGACTATCCTCTAGTAATGAACAAATTAATGGATCATATTCAACAAGTGACAATTCCAAAGTTGCAGTTCAGAGCATTTTTCATGATATCAGAAGTGACTAGTGTCTTCAGTGTAGAGGACCTCTCACAAAATGACATTTTTTGTTAGAAAAAAGATGCTCTCTGGATATTAATGTTGTTGATTCCTCCGGTGTGTTTTCATTGGTCTCCCAGGTTATTAAAGGTCAGAGGTTACTTGGCGACCTTGTATCAGAAGCCATAAAACATCAACCACACTCGGCGGCTTGAAATAGGCCTTGCTAAAATAGCATAGGTGTTAGTCATTCCATGTGGGTGGAGGTGAGTTGTGTATGTGTGTGGCTGCTTGTGTGTCTCATTTTGCCTTCTGTCATCTGATGATGTGGTCAGATCTCAATTTGACTTCGGCGAGCTGGAACACACACACACACACACACATACTAATGCACACAAATTCAACTTTAGATATGAGCAGAAACAGATGATAAATATACTGCACATACACAAAAATACAAAAACACACACAATCACTAGCTCTTATTTTAGCTTCTTGAGACTTGGAGTAGTCGATAAGACTTCAAGCAAGACCCATAATAGCCTTTTGTGCCTTTTGTGCTCTATTCAGCCAGCACAGTGCACACTGAATTTTAAATGAGCTCGGCTTGCAAATGGCATTTAAAGACAGAATCAAATGGTTCCCTCTCACAGAGACAAGGGTTTCCAGGAAACTGGAGTGTTTCCACTGTCATTTGGCTTCACACTTGTCAGTGCTGAAAAGGCAGTTAGCTCCTCTGACAGAGTAGCTTTTTGAGCCGAGACGGAAAATGGAAGAGGATGTGTCTTCTCAAGCGCTGGTTGGAAATAACAAAAGTATTGTTGTTGTTGGATTTGCAGTTAGTCAGGGTTGCAGTTGCTTTTCTGAGCGCGAGACTACTTACAACAGTTCTTAGCTTATCAAGGCATTGCACAAATCCTAAAATGATAGGGTCAGTGTTTTGATGGGATCGACAGTGGGTGAGTGATGTCTATGTGGTCACTGGTTCCCAAAGATGGATGTCAAACTTTCACTGTGCTTGTGTCATAACAACAGCTACAGCTGCTGTGGGTCCATTTCAACACTGTCTGTGTATTTTTGTCTTTCCTGCACGCTGTAAAAACAGGAGCAAGAAAATACACAAAACATTTACACAATTCACTCATGCAAACAGCTTTTACACATAATATCTCTCATGATCAAATCCTTAGTTGTCAAGAATATATTTTTGACCCAATATTGGACTAAGTCCTTATCACCTGTTACTTTGGTGGACAAGGTCTTAGGATAATATGTAAGTCATTAATCTCTTCACGTTTTTTCATAACGTAATTGAAAAAGCTGACGCAGAGCTTTTGATATGTGGTGCTGTTGAACGATTTTGTCTCATATGAGGAGATGTTTTTTATATTTATCCTCCCCTCATTGATATAAATGGGATAAAGAAGGAGAGCCTGTCCTCCCTTAAACTAAATCAAAACCTTCATGATGAGCTTTAGGTTTTACAGTCCAAAGTGAAATCCATAGTCTCATGGCAAACAAAATGAATTGTTAAATTCAGACAGAGCTCTAAAATTTGAATGAGTGTCATCAGTGTCTTAATCAATCACTGACTCATTGTTCAACTGGTTATTGGCTGATTATTAATGTTAAATCATCAAATCAGTTCTCAGGGAATTCCCTCAAAGAGCAGATGCTGTCCTCTCAAATCTGACTGGATAATCATTTGCCATAAATGAGTTTCTGACTGAAATGAGATACGGGCTGACGTTATAACAACAACACCACGCAGGAAGAGCTGTGAGGATCAGAACTGTCACAGAACCTGAAAGATCAAGGTCTGCACATAGGTTGAAGAAAGGAATAACTGGGAAAGATTGTTGAGTTTTTGTTTCAGCCCTTGTGATTGACTCCGCTGGCTCACTCACTGGATTTTTGGAATAATTGTGATGAGAAGGGAAAGATGAGGGATTAGAGAGAAAAACCATTTGATACATACTGTGTGAAAGAGAGATGAACTTGATAGAACCAGATGTCATAAGACAGGGAATGAGAAGGATAATTTTTTTTAAAATTAACAATACATGGTCAACACAGGCAATTATTTTAATTAGTTAGTCTAAAATATTAGATTTGAAGTTGGATTAATTGTAAACATTGCTGTGTTTTTGTATAAAACTCATCAGTAAACTTCCCTGAAAGAACTTCATTGATCTGCGGTCAGTGTGGAAGTGTGAGAACCTGAAACACATTATAAATGAATTAGTTTTAAACTGCCATCTAATTCTACTCCATTGTTTCTCTCTTCTGGTTGAAACAGACCATTTCGGAGAATCTGTCTCTCTCCTACGAGGAGTTGGAGGAGTTAAAGGCAGACTCCTCCACTGGACTGTGAAGCTCTTTTGTGCACACATTCACAGGAGGAGGAGTGACGGAGAATGTCATTGTGGGCTTGTCCTTACTGCTGCTCAGCACAGACAGAGCGTTTCTTAGAGTTACTACATGGCCACCGTGCGTCCAGCATTTCTTCGACCTCCCTGCGAAGTGAGGCAACTGTTGAAGATTTCCGCCCTTAAACCTGTGCTTCAGTTTGTCCTCCGCTCTTTAGAAC